ACAATACAAACATCAAAATCCCAATATCTTCACTAGAACCAACCAATTCAAACAACATCATAATTACCTCAATAATTAAGTCATGAATTCATAGATATTTAAACATAAATCCATCATCAAAGAAACATCAAAATATAAGGTTCTTATGGTGTAGTAAGGACTACACTTACCTCACTTGTAGCTTGATCAATTCTTCATTTTTTTAGCTTGAACTTCCTCCTCCTTCTTCATCTCAAAACTTTCGACCAAGATGGAATTTTTTCCTCCTTTGTTTGATCCTCCAAGCTGGTTCTTGATGTTTTTTAGGGTGTTTCTAGGATTGATGGTTTGAGTAGTTTTAGTGTTGGTTTGGTGAATTACTCATTGGTTTAACTTGATCTCTCTTTAGGGTTTCTTGAATTCTCCAAGTTTTCCAACCTCTCTTCCATCTTCTTTAAGCCGAATTTAAAGAGAACAATTTCTCTTTGATTAAGCCAAGTCTATCACGCCGATTTAATCTTAGATGCTTGCAATTAATGTCATCTCTAGAGATTTCTTATTCTTTCTCCTTTCTTCTCTTTTTTTCCTTAGATTTTTGGCTTGATATTTTTCTTTCTTTCTTTTTTCACTTTGTCGACCTAAGGAGATATTTTTCTTCTCATTTTCCAGCTTTGTAGTTGATTGAATTTGTAACACCCCCAACCTAGGACATAATAAGTTGAGAATATTATCGTCGTTAACCCATATTCGAAGTGCAATGAATGCAAGCTAACAAGACACTATGACCTTTTTATAGTTAATTTAAGTGACCTTACGTTGCGGAACTTCTTTAATAACACCTAGGTCCTATATCTAATTAAAAAGTTGTTATAAAATTTTCACGTCTATTTGCTTTATTCATATTCATGCATTGCATTGTTGTACTCATGGCTATTTTTTAAGGTGATTCTTTTCTTAATTAATTATTGCAATTTATTTAGGCCTAAGTTCATTTTTATTAATATTGATTGATTGTTTATTTTTCCTTCCTATTTATTCGTGCCTTTCATCTAATACACGTTTAAGATAATTATTGAATTTCTAATGGTACTATCATGTAGTGGATAATTTAAAGTAACTACGCTACTACTACTATATTTCCATTTTATTATCGGTGATTTGATTAATTACATTTACTATTTACATACAAGATCGATTTTATGCCAACTACTACGAAATTGGCTTATTTATTACTATGCCATTGCTACTTCTACTCTTTCATTTACCGGTTCATAGCTTTAACTACTACATAGAAAAGCACGAGTCATTGCTATAAAATAGACTAGAATACCTAATATCATAAGAGCCACTATGTGTATCAAGTCTACATGGCAACCATATCCGACATACACGCGACAAAGGCCATGTTTGGTAGTCAATTCACACGTTAGGAACACCATCTTTACTTGGGTATGCTACATCACAAGTACATTGCTAAGCGATATCTCAATAAGTTAACCAATGCATGTACATGTATGCGCATGTATAAAACACCGAGATATGCATAATAGATCTTGTTTTCTTATTTCATAAAAAAGTATGAAAATCCTTTTTATGTCTTTGGACATGTCTTATTTAGGTACTTTAGGGTTTTCATAATATATGTCCAGTGAACCGAATCCGTCTATGAACATATCCTATCGAGCCTCTAAAAGTGCACGTCCGCACTTGTTCGGCCTCGAACCATTATCATTACCATCCGAAAAACCCATGAAGCCCATCTTTAAATAAAATCTCCAAAAGTCATGAAAATCGTCTCCTTTAAAATAATTCCGATTGCTATCGGAAAGTTATAACATAAAATATATTTTCATAACATAAAACATAATTCATGAGATTTGACATGTATATGTATTTTGAATGAAAATACATGTTATATTAATTCATAAGTGCATGCCTTAAATGGTCATGTAGTCACATTGTAGGAATATGTATAAAATTGGACAACATAACGTCATAGATAACATTGCCCCATATAAATCATTTCAACCACCACATACCATACCATCACCATTTGCACAACATAATATCATCATCACTCCTATTACATCATACACCACATTCAACCATCATATACTTTAAAAAATAAATCCAAAAACATGATTGCACATACATTTACATAATACACTTAAAGTTTCACATTTTCCTTTTTAGGCTAAATTTCACCTTATTGGAACCTAACCCTTTCCCCTTTATTTCAACCTCCCCTTTGCACTAATTATAATCTAAATTAATCAAGCTAATTTAATTAAGTATTATTTAACCGAGTATGTGTATTATTTTCCTATTGGGCCTTATTGGGCCCAATTTTCAACTTCTCCATTTTGGACTAATTTCTTGATTTCTACTAAACTTTTGCTTCCTTTTCAATCTTATTATCATATTTTAAATCAAAATTTATCAATTTAGGGCTTAAAATCCAATTAAAACTCAAACCTAATTTTCTCCTCTTTTAGGCCGAATGTTATCCCATTCCAAACCCTAAGATTTTCTTCTCATTTCATCCTACCATTTTAATACTAGGTGGCCTAAACACATATTAACCATGAGAATCAATTTAATTAATAATTAGGGCACAAAATTTTGCCTAAACCCGTATTGGGCCTAAGTCCATATAGCCAATTTTCATCAAATTTTTCATTCCTACACATCAAAACATGTTTATTAAAGTGTAAATCACTCACCAAACCACAAATTAAATGCTTTGAACTCAAACCCTAAAATTATCAAATTAGGCTGAATATAATCTCCCTAAATTAATAATTTTTTCTTCAATTAAAGTGTATTTTTTTATCACAAATTACTAATTCATGCCTAATTAAGTCAGAATTGAGTGTCAAATCATCAATTATATGAAAACACTAAAAACTTCAAAATCAAAGGTGTAGATCGAATAGGGTACCTTGAATAACCTTAGGAATGTTTGAGCTTTAAACCTAAATTTCAAGCCTAATCAACCTATTTCTATCTCAATTTCATAAACTATAAGCTTAAAATCATTTTCTCCAAATTTGGTTCATCAAGAACCCTAACCCTAATTTTTCTTTAATTAAGCAATTAAACATAAAATTGACTTGAAATTAAGCATCTTTGTGATTTAGGCAAGGTTAACTTACTTTTTTTTTAGCTCCAATTGAACCTTAAAAAGCTAGGTTGTGAGAGAATTTCTCTTCCTCCTCTTTTCCTCTAAATTTTGGATTTTGATCTTTGAATATTTCCTTTGAGAATTTTAGCTTTCCACTTGAAATTTAGGTTCTCTACTCGATTAGAAGTGCTTAAAATTTATTGAAAATATTTTGGTTGATTTGTGGGCGGAAATTTTGCAAGAGTTTAGTTTGTGTTTTTCTCTTTTCTTGGTATTTTGATTTTTCCAACAATGATATTTATAGGAAGATTTTGTAGACCTATTGAATTGATTTCGACCCTTAATTGGGTGAATGCGAGCTCTTGATTCATTTTTTGATTATTTATTTTCATTTGTCCCAATTCTTGGCCATTTATTCATGATTTAATTTAACACCTCCACTTTCCTTGTTTCGACCATAATTTTTAATGGAAGTCAACCTTAACTAATTCCCTAGGTCGGTAAAAATTGGGAGGAAAATGACATGTTTTGGTCTTCCAAGTTCCTAAGGTTTTTCATAGCCTATTCTTTCCTAAACCCTCTTTTTATTCAAAAATTCACTTCTAATCCTTCCTTTTCATTATTTAGGACTAATTTTTAACCCTTAACATTTCCAAATAATTTAATTTGAACATTAGACTTTTAATTTTATGCAATTGAGTCCCTAATTTTATATAATTTAATCCCTACTTCTAAAATATCATCTTATACTTCTCAAAAGTTCAATTTCTTTCTAGAATAAATTTAAACATGTGTTAATATAGTTTAATCTAAATTTTCATAATTTTTGGACCTCATTTAAGCCTCTAAATTAATTATTTAGTGTAAACATTTGACTATTTCTTCTAGAAAATATTCCTTATACTTAATAAAATTAATTTAAATTTATTAGGTATTCCTACACATTCCATATGATTTTCTATTCCCTTAAAAAAAATTTCTCATTCTTTTAAAGTATCTAATTTAATTCTTCTATCTCTAAAACACTATTCCTATACATAGAATTTCAAAGAAAATATTCATATCACATGGAAAAATTCACATAAGCACATAAAATAATTCAAAACCCCTCTAACAAATATTCTAAGCACACAAAATATTTTTCATGCACAAACAACATGTTTTAATTAATTATGTCATGCAAAAACTACTATTTATACACTCGTAAAATTAATAAAAATATTTCTTAAACATGAAAAAACTATGTTAACTATTCTAAATATCATTTTAAGTCCTTAATGATTATTTTTCACTCTTAAAATATTTTTCACATGTCTTTAATATTAAATTTTTATTTAATTTCAGTTTTTTAGCAGGTACCAGCTATTACAAAATTATATTCCCAAAACCATTTAACTAGTTCTTCAAATCACTAACACTCAGCACTTTAGTCCCTGAACTTCTAATTGATGCATTTGACCACTCCAATTTCAATCCTCAAATTTTAATTTTTCACAATCAAGCCCTTATTCTAGGCCTTTTCTAGTTTAATCGTGATAATCAAAGTTTTTTAATTATTTTAATTAAGTATTCAAACTTTTAATTGTTGCGATTATATCGCTAAGGTTTTGCAATTGCACCCTTAAGCTAATACATAACCATAACAATTAATATTGTAAACCTCTAATTTACACTCCAATTAATCCATTTACCTTCCATATTAATCTTGCTTGCATTTAATTTATTTCTTATACAAGAATAAACTTTCATTTCTCATTTTAAATAAATATTTTTTTAGTAATTAACTAAAATATTCTTACGAATATATTTAAGGATTGTAGGTCAGCAACATTGGAAGGCAAGCCCAATAAAGCTTTTCCAAAACTGAGCAAACTAGCTGCAGTTGCTACTCTAAGAAATGGTGATGTAGTGATGTTTAAAGACAAGAAATAAAGTTTTTATGCATTGATACGACATCCACGAAATGGAATTGAAAAAAATCACAACAGAAGCCTCGTATTTTGAAGTTTTATATTGTTTTAGTTGTTTTTATAATATTTTAGCTAATTAACTGTTAGAAAATGTGTTTTGTAGTGTGATTTCTCCTTTACTTTTTTTTTTTTTTTTCCGTTTTCATTAGGCCTGTGGCTCTTGCCATATTTAATCTAACTAAAATTAATATTTTTTTTATTTGTATTAAAATTTAACTTGTCATTTTGTACGGAACATCAGGAATTTTTTATCTAATAGTTTAGGTTGGAAAATATATATATTTTTTTTTTCATTAATGGGAGATAATATTCTATTGATTTTGATAGAATGGACAAAATTAATTTTGTGGATTATGCCAATAAATTTAATCAATAAAATCACTTAAACCCTATAGTAAAAAGAAAAAAAAACAATTGAGGTTATTTTAATCAATTTGATGGATGCCAATTCGTTTAATTAGCAACAGCAATTTACATTACACCAACTTTTATTTAATTAACTATTATTAAAGCAACTTAGCCCAGTATGGCATTGATTGATTTGGTCAGGACCATGCTCATTTGCCTTCGATCTGCTGATGATAAGCTCAAATAAGTAAAGAGTGAATCGGCGTCGGTCCCTGTATTCTCAACACAATCATAGCTTAGTCCTTATATTAGAAAACCAATAATTTAATCTTTTTTTCATTTTTACCATTGGAATATATACTTACATTCATTTTTCTTTGTATAATTATGAAATTCTTTCATATATTTTTGGATTTTTAATTACATCTCTCTTTTTTTAAGCGTTTGAAATGTTTAATTTATCTTTTCGATCAATTTTTCCAATTAAATAATTTTTTTACTAAAATGTCTTTACTAAAATGGAAAAAAAAACAAACAAAAAACAAACACCGAAAGTCATACGACTTATATGTTTTATTTTTAAAGTATTTAGAATTATTATTATTATTATTATTTTACATCTCAATCGGAGATATTTTTGTCAAAAAAATTATTTGAGTGAAAAAGTTGATTGGAATGAAAATTAAACATTTCAAACACTTTAAAAAATAAATAGGATGTAATTAAAAATACAAAGACTATAGAAAATTTTGAATATTATATAAGGACAAATGAATGTATTTTATCTTTGTATTATTATAACATCTCAATCTTTCTCCAAAACTCCTCAATATTTTGATTTTTTTATGGAATAATTTAAATTGTGAAAGGGTATATAAGGGAATTGGAATTTAGAAAAGAACTAATAAATGCTTTAACAAAGATAATAATCAGTAAGAGATTAAGATTTGAATAATGCTATTTTTATACAATTGTCTTATAAAATTTCCTTATAAAAATTATCAATCATTAAATTTATGAAAATTACTATTAAAATCTACTTATTTAATACATAATGTCAAATAATGATTGATATTTTTTCCAATAAATGACTTTTATAGGAAAATTTTATGAAAATAACATTACTCATTAAGTTATAGGTTTTTAGACATAAAGAGACCAAGTTATAACACTATTTTTACATAATTCACTTATTAAAAAGTATCATTCAATATATTTACGAGAATTTACACAAGCAAATCTAGCCTAGCGGTAATGTATCCAGCTCGAGTTCGATGAATTCGGTTTCTTTGATGATTATGTAATGGAGATGGCTACCTCTTTTGTGTACCCAATAGATCTATTAGGTTTCTAATAAATAAAAAAATATATTTATGAGAGTTAATAATGAAATCTATTTATTTAATGCGCTATATATATATATATATATATAATGGTGAATTTTTTTTCATTGAATTTTGTAAGATAATTATGTAAGAATAGCATTACTCATTAAGTTATAAGCTTTAGGACATGAGGAACTAATTTACAATGAGATTTAAAATTCAGGGACTAATATTTTATGCAATAAGTGATGCAGCATACAACAATAATTTGCTCCTGTGTTCCAATTTGCAAATCGATTGGTAGAGATTATATAGTGCCAAAACACATCACGTCTGAATACACATAAAAAAAAACCCAACAAGATTCCCTTTGATGGCGATTTTATTGGATTCACTGCTTTAATTAGCTTAATTAGATTAATTTTTTTAAAAAAAATTAAGTTAATGGGTCTCAAGATTAGAAGTTCACAATTCTGACAACTAATTTAACTTTTTAAGTTAATTTATTCTATGCCCTTTGTTTATAGTGCATCGTCACTCCCAATCCATCATCATCGTCGTCAAGAAACCAAGCAATGGCTTTACTAGACGAGAGCCTCTTTCACTGTAGTCTCCTTAGCCTCTACCTAATAGGACCACCTACCTTCATCTCCCTCAAGTTCCTTCAAGCCCCATACGGCAAGCACCACCGTCCAGGGTGGGGTCCTACAATCTCTCCGCCTTTGGCTTGGTTCCTCATGGAAAGCCCCACTCTTTGGCTCACCATCCTCCTCTTCCCCTTTGGCCAACATTTCACCAATCCCAAAGCGCTCATTCTCATCTCCCCTTATCTCCTCCACTACTTCCACCGCACTTGCATCTACCCACTTAGGATGTACCGGAATTCCAGATCCACTGGTGGTTTTCCGGTGAGTGTGGCACTTATGGCGTTTGTGTTTAATGTGTTGAATGCTTACTTGCAGGCTAGGTGGGTTTCTCATTATAAGAGTGATTATGATGGGGGGATGTTTTGGTGTAAGTTTTTTGGTGGGTTGGTGGTGTTTGTGTGGGGTATGCGGATTAATATGTGGGCTGATAGGGTTTTGTTAGGTTTGAAGAGGGAAGGTGGTGGATATAAGGTGCCAAGAGGAGGATGGTTTGAGTTGGTGAGCTGCCCTAACTACTTTGGAGAGATTGTGGAGTGGCTTGGATGGGCTGTGATGACTTGGTCTTGGGTTGGGTTTGCCTTTTTTCTCTATACATGTGCTAACTTGGTGCCTAGGGCATGTGCCAATCACAAATGGTATTTGAAGTTTCAAGAGGATTATCCCACGAATAGGAAGGCGGTGATCCCTTTCTTGTGTTAAATCCATTTCCCCCTCGTTTTATGTTTGAAACAATGGAATGGTGATGGCCAGTTGTATTTCTTGCAATTATCGATCAAATGCAAAGTAATATTTCTGATTGTGAAGATTTTGACTTTTGATTGGATGCTATCTTGTTTGGAAACTTTCAGATATGAACTGCTCAATCTTCGCTGGGATTAGTGTGTATAGAGACGTGCCAATTCTGGGTTTCTGTATAGAAGCTTATTCTTTGCATTCATTTGAATACACACACAAGATATAAGCAACGTCTAAGCTGAAATAACAAGTTTCTTCTGATCATTGCAATGGGCAAAATAACCGCAATGCCAAACAAGCATTAAAGGCTCCTACATATGTCTTAAGAGTTCTTTGAAGGAGCACAAACCGCACAAGAGGGAAACCAACCACCGATGATAATTGGATTATTGCAGACAGACTCAAATAACCGCCATTTTATATCCCAATTTCAGAACACACAGTAACTGTTATTCAATGTTATAAAAACTCAATTGTCGTTTCACATGAATAACAACAAATAATAACATTATGTAATGCCATGCCGTTTAAAAAAAATAAAAAAAAAACCACAATGTCGACATTTGCACTTTGCAATATACTCATTAGTAAAACTGTTTAAAATATATAAATTAAAATAAATTTATTTGCTTTTATAAACTGAAAACTGCAGTCAAAACAGTTTTTTCAATTGCGTTCTCAGTTTAAAACAATGATTACAGGCACCTACGAGGCATACCTTAAGGAACTACAATTGCCCCTGCTCTACTGCATAGTATTGGCAAGGCAAAGCTGCATCCCTATAACCCTAACCTAATCCTGAAATCCCCAATAAATACGATGCCTCTGAAAATGATAATCTTGCAATTCCATAAGCAGAGAAGTTTAAATTGAACAAGCTTCTTGAGTTGAAACTGGTACATGCACTACAGCCAACAGGCAAGCGTGTTATTACTGATACTTGGAAGCATCTTAGCTTCCTCTGGCACTCACATAATTTATACAGATATTTCTTTGTCCATCAACGCAAATAGAAACACATTCTACTCAAAATTTAAGAAAATGCAGTGAAAAAAAAAATTAATAAAAACCTAATTCAAAACGAATATGTTTCAGCTAATAAAGATAACGTTGCGAACTCTCATTTTCCCTTGGAACAAAACCTTGAGCACTGTAGCAAAAGAAGACAACAATAATGTAGTCTCAGTGAGGTGTGAAGGCCGGAGGTTGAATGTCTTCTGATTTGAAGAGCATGATGCCATTCGGTCTGCTTTGTTGAAAAACTGTAATCTCTTCTTCTATGCCATCTTCACAAGTTGCATACCTACAAAGAGAGTCGCGAAATGAATGCAATATCTCAATAGATAATAATGAAAATCACTGATCACTCTTATTCAAATTAAATATAAAATTCATTTCCTACAGTGCAAGAAATACATAGCAGCCTATTTCCTAAATGAACTCTTTGAAAGTAATTAAACTTTACTAAAAGAACTCTTGAGCCCTCTTCAAGAAAGAATAGTTTTCCTCATCAAAGCGAGGATGAAAACATACAGGCTTAAAAAATTATAACCCTCAGCATAAAGGATGTACCCTCAAGCAATAACTTAAAATAGAAAGCAAGATATATGTCTACTTTATCCATCAGAGAATAAGGAGACACAAGAATCAAAGAACTCACTCTTAAGTGAAGCTGCGATTTGCACCCAAATTAATTTCTACCCTGGATTCATCATTTTTGGAACTTGCTTCCTTTAGATCATCATTTTTCAAACTTCCATTTGAGCCTCCATCAGACTCTAGGGCTTCGATCTCTGCCAGAAGCTCTTCATGCTTCTCCTTTATTTCAGAGGAGTTAATAGCAGCTGAAAGCTTCTGCTTTATTTGCTGTTCTAAAGCCTCAATTTTATTTTTTGATGCAGTATCAGGTGTTTTCCCTGCCTTGGCTACCTCCAACTTCAGTAACTCAACAGTGTTTTTAAGATCTGATGACTTCATTAGATTCTCAATTTTCTTGTTAGTTTCCTCCTTTAAACTTTCAGCCTTAGCCTTCGTGTCTTGGTTAATGAGTTCCTTTGCCTTTACAATCTCAACATCCAAATCCATGGACTTGAGGACATTCGCCAGTTCCAACTCTATCTCTTTCTTCGTCTTTGCTATGCTCTCCTTTGTGCCCTCGTCTAAATCTGCAACACTGGAAGCACCCAACTTTTGAATTTCAGCCTTTAGTGCTTGGATCTTCTCCTTCATTTCAGGCCGATCCATGACCTCTTTGAGTTTCTTATTGATATCCATTTTCAGTTCATCACCCTTGCTCTTCTTCTCCAAGGCGATTTTGGCTTTAGAAAACTCCTTCAACCTGTCAAGCTTATACTTCAGGCTCGCATAATTAGGAGCGGTTGACAGGCCCTTGTTGAATTCATCACTAAGTTTTTCAATCTTGTCTATTAGAACTGGATGCATGAGATTGTCCTGTGAATTTGCTTTTAAACATTCTTCTCGCAAATTCGAAAGCCTGTCCTGTAAGCCCATCGCTTCAACAGCTGCAGAATATTCAAGATCAATCTCCTTTTTCAGTTTCTCTATCATCTCATTTAAAGCCAACTCTGTAGGCTTGCTAGATGACTCCTTGACCTTTGAAATTTGCTGTTTCAGTTTTTCAACCTCGTCCTCCAACACAAGAACTGGGGTCTTTCTTGCAATGGGTTCTTCTTTCTTCTTCATGTTGACTTTTCTCATAGGATCAACTGGGACTCCTTCTTGAAACCCACCAATTTTTCGGAACTTCAGCATGCGATGTTTTAGTAGCGCTTCTGTGTCCATTTTCCCGAGCTCCTATTAAAATTCAAGATTAATTTTAGGATACAATGTTTAAATTTGATTCTTAAAGAAGCATTACAAGTGGCACTCACATCCATAGATTCATTAATTGCATTCTTTATCTGTTGTGAGGTCCATGATGGATCTGCATGAGCTCCACCTAAGGGCTCCTGTTAAAATTAAAACAGAACTCTTCAATATGTCACAGAAATTAACATAAAGATAAAGATCAAAAAGCTAAAAAAAAGTGAAGCAGCCATTATTTATAATGGTAACATCTGGAAAGGAAAGCGAGAGAGACAGTCCAATATTTTTTTATCAGTCATGCGTCCCAGCATCATGAATCTGAACTAAAGTTCAATATGAATGTCTTTATAAGTACATGCATAGCTGCCTGGATTCACCCACCACCCCCTCCCTTCCGGCAGCAACCTTTATTGTTTGTAGAACATGTATTTTATCATGGTTAAATATATTAGAACAGCATTATAAAAGAAAATTTTAGAAAGATCATTACAGGTATGATTCCATCTGCAATTTGCAACTTGCACAACTCAGGACCAGTGATTTTAAGCTTCTCAGCTGCCTGCAGGAGAGGGGAAAAAAAACTTTCTATGATCTATAATTGATTAAAAGTCCAAAAGCAGACAAAGTCCAAAAGTGAGAAGACGCTGTGTATAAACCTTTGGAGAAGCTTTGGCAGTCTTCCATAAAATTGCTGCACATGCTTCAGGACTGTAACACAAAAATAGTTCAAAAAAATATAAGAAAATAGAAAATGGATCAGCACATTCAAGTGAAAAATACAAACTTAACATAGAGCATAAAACAGTATATCCTTATATAAGAGAAAGGATGTGGAAAACAGTTGATCCTTGCAAATTTGGATCCTCAAAAGAAAACAAAATTGTTAATCAACACGCTTCCTCAACTAGGCCAGAAATATAATGTTCCTTAACCAGACAACTTCTAATCCAAGTAAACAGGAAAATCATGACAAGAAGTAAGAGCTATGCTAAAATAGACAGCCATCTTGCCAATAGCTGTTTGAGCACATTGCCAAAAGCAACAAATTATTATATCCTCCAAATTGACTACTCACCATAAGCAACAGAGCTAAGTAAGTCATTCAGAAAAGAACACCAAACCTGATAAGCAACCAAACCTCAGCAACATCAGAAAATAAAAGAAAAAACTTCTGGGTAATTTGGGGCCATATTTTCATCTAACATTCAAAGCCAAAGGGAGGTTTCCAAACATACTTTCCTAAATCCTTTTCTTCTGTACAAGTTATTGAATGCAGGGGTAATAATTTATAGAGCTGACAAAACAAGACCCTCTTTCCAACAAGACAAGACAAGAAAATGTCCAACAGTATATTTGCACAAAAATTACGAGTTCAGAATAATTGAGTGAAAAAGAATTTGAATTACCTGGCCACATAGAAAACTGCATTTTCAAGCATTAACAATTTATTGGCACAGCCAATTGCCAGAGCACCACCAGAGCCACCTTCCCCAATAACAATAGAAACAATGGGAACCTTTAGGCCAAACATGGTCCTCAAATTATGAGCAATGGCTTCGCCCTGTGCATATGAATAGCAAAAAAATTAGTTAAACCATATTTAAAGAAAGCCTTGAAAACTTTGCTGTACAATTATCCACATACTTGGCCTAGTTCCTCAGATTTAAGGTCTGCAAATGCTCCAGGTGTATCGATAAAAGTAACTATAGGGAAGCCATGGTGATCCGCATAATACATCATGCGTAAAGCCTTCCGATAGCTGTTAAAAAGCAGACGTTTACCAGTCCGTGACATATGCTAAATATTTAACTCTTCAAGTGGATCGCATAACACATGGGATAGAAATCATTCTCTCATTTCAAAGTATATCAAAAGATATATATAATTGAACATACCCATGAGGAGTAGGCATCCCAAAGTTACGCATTATGTTCTCTTTTGTGTTTCTGCCCTTTTGGTGACCCATGAACATGTATCTTTTACCATCTATTGTTCCTATTCCAGTAACAATAGCAGGATCATCATACCCTGCTCGATCACCGTGCAGCTCTACAAACTGGACATTTAAGGATACACAAATATTTACTAAATAGTTCCACAGTATCCATCAACTGAACACAAAGGATCAGAATGAAGAA